GATCGAAAGACGGCAGAGTGGCAACACAAGGCGACCCTTGGCATTGAGGAAAGAACACCCGGCGAGGCAACCTCGAACCTGGGTGCGCAGGCAACATCAGAAGGTCTGGACGTGCAAAGCTGAGCTTCTGGCGAGGGGACCTCGAACCAGGCAGGACGCCTGAGGTGCGTGGGCCAGATCCAAGGCGAGGGAGCCTCAAACCTTGATCGGCCAAGCAGGAGCATAGGCTGCAGGTGAGCACGGTTGAGGCGCCGGCCCAGCAGGAGAAGCAGAGCAGGTGGATCACAGACTACGGTACGATAGACATGCAAGGAAACGGCTGCATTGACCAGTCGCCTAGCATGCAAATGTAAAACCGCTGGCGAACAGCTTGGCAGTGCACTGACGAAGCAGGAGATCCTAATAGTACCCTCAAGCGCCCAGGTCAGTATCTCACTCCCAGAGTGAGACCTAATCCATAGTGTCCAGGAATGAAGCGCTGGTGGCCGACCTGTAGCCGAAGCAAAGGAGGAAGCATTTCCGACAGTTGGCCTGCGAGGCCCTTGCCTGTTTGGGAACGCAAAGGGACTGGGGTCCGTATCCGAAGTTAAGCCTGTCTCGCGCGCTGCTTGCACAGATAGCGTATCAAGATACTGCCGCTGCCGAAACATAGTGGTTGCGATGGTTGGCAGCTTGATCCTGCGACACTGGTACAGCTGATACTGGTAGCCTGACAGAGCGGCAGTGGTGCAGCCAACAAGGCCTGCATTCTGAGACGCCCTTGACCTTGGCATGGTCTGAAGCAGCAAGCCTGAGCGGTCAGACGGCTCGCCTGATGACCTTGCGGGCAGTACAGCGCCTGTGTGGTTTTCCTGACCAAGTGTAGCCATCCACGAACCTGTCAGTTGGGTGTAGCTCCACCAGGGCGGGGTCAAGACCGGAGAGCACAGGGCACTGACTGTGACATCTGCAAAGATCCTGTGCACAGCAGAGATACCAGTTGCCAATACGAGTAAAGGCACCCACCGAGACCAGCCTGAGGTCTGCGGAGCCGGGATTTTATTGGCAGCGCTCGTTTTCAGGTTGGGACCAGGATGCACAGAGGAAGCCATGGCAAGGCCCTGAAATCGAAGGGGCAGGAGAACCAGCCCACCCCACAAGAAGGGGACCGCGCCGAGGGGCAAGAACCCGAACCCAAAGAACACCAAACCCAACGCAAGGGGGCACCCTGCTGCTGAGCCTTGTATATATATATATATATATATATATATATACATGTGTATGTATATTGATATACACATATATACATCTATATATATGTATATATATACATCTATATATATATATATACATATATATATATACATATATATATATATGTTGCCCCCCCCAGGATCTACCTTGCGACTACACCCTGAACACAATAAAACCACAATAAAACCAGAATAATAATGTTAAGTACTGCCTCATGCTCCTGGTCTACAGCGACAAAAACCCATTAAAACTAAAATCATCATACTAAGCATTGCCCAATACTCCTTGGCTGAAAGGACATAAACATACTAAAACCGAGTTAACCATGTCAAGTATTGCCTAATACTCCTTGACTACAAGGACATAAACCCGTTAAAACCAAACTAATCATGTCAAATATTGCGTAATACTCCCTGACTACCACAACATAAGCTCATCAACGTCAAAATAATCATGTTAAATATTGCCTAATACTCCTTGTCTACGACAACATAAGCCCATCAAAACCAAAATAATCATGTGAAGTACTGCCTAGTATGCCCTGTCTATAACGACACAAACTCCCTAAACCCGAAATAATATTGCTTGCTACTCCTTGTCTACTGCGACGGAAGCCCCCTCAAACCGAAATAATCATGCTAAGTATTGCTTAATATTCCTGGTCAACTGCGACGGAAACCTCATCAACGTGTCCAAACTAATGAACACGATTCAAAGAAAATATTTTCCTTTTTCCCGCTCGTATGAATCCTATTATATAGACCGTACAACCCATAAAGCAAAAAAATCACATGAAGTATTGCTTATAGCCGCCCAGATGTGATCCCGAACCTATACCCACCTGCCTCCAAGTTCCTCGTGCTGTCCTTGGACATTGCAGAAAGTACTTGTTGCATATAGTAGATACTGTAAGGATGACACGCACACATCACTTAGGGGAACAACTGCGCACACCGTTTTTTCATACTGACATCATCACGTGTGAAACATCCTTCAGTGCTGTGTCAGCACTAAACGTGCTTTATCATGTTCTGTATGATACGGGCACATCTTCCGTATCTCATTGAGGCTAGATACATCCAGAGTAGCAGGACTGCCACGTTGGCATTCATTGCACTCGCCTTTACACGTCCGGTTCCACCCGGTGCTGCTTTCCAGGTGTTCCACTTGGATAATTTCTCTGGGGTCTAGATATGTTTGGAAAAGTTAGTATGGCAAGTACTGTGGCTGCCGCGACGCTCCGGTGCTTGCCTGCTCTACATCTACATAGGACGTCGACTTCACATCGCGGCAAAGGCCAAGGTAATAACCCGTGCCAGCAGGCATCGAAATTTATCGATCGTCAGTAGCTTATTCAAAAATCGCGGGTTTCAGGCCATGTGAGACAACGTAGTCGGGTCCATTCCTGGATCGAGAACTTTCTTCAGATCCAGTATGATCACAGCTGCAGAAGTAGGAAGGTTTCTTCTCTCGTTCCCGCTGAACAGTTGAACTACCATCAAATGCGGAAAACCAGGTCTCACGTTCTGAGGTAGTACAGGTAGGAGAGGCCACCGGCGGCGGTTGCTGCCCAGGATCATCTTCAGCTCCACGTACTGGAAGCGTTTTAGCGGGTACTGCAGCAAGAGAAACGACTGTGGGTTGTAGTTCACGATCCGGCAGTAGAACAGCAGCAGTACCTGGAACACTTCCTCTACGTGGTGGTGGTACTAGAACTCCTTGTCTTCGAGCAGCTTTATCAGGCGGTGGTACTAGAACTCCTTGTCTTCGAACAGCTTTATCAGGCGGTGGAACTATGACACCTCGTAAACGTGTCGCCGTTCTCTGCAAGCCTTGTGGTTGTGCTGGTGGTGGTGGTAGTGGGGGCGTGGGTGGTGGTGGTGGCTGTGGTGTGTGCGGCGTGGGTGGTAGCGGTGGCGGTGGTGGTGGTGTAGGCTCTCCTAAAGGTTGAGGACCAAGTAACTGTAGTAGAGCTCGACTCTGAAGGTGTGGTGCAGTGTTGACAACGCCATTGCGAACAAGACTTACAAACTTGGGGCTCCTACATACTGGATGTTGAGACAGAAAAAGTTCTCAAAACTAAACTTGTTCTACAACGGTTGCGGATGGATCTGGATTTGATGATGTAGAAGTCGCTGTGGTCAAGCTCATGGTCGCTGTACCAGCTGCGTCCTAGCTCATGGTGCCCTCGATGTTTACAAAAGAGGAATTCGCCGACATGATCACAAGGACAGGATGGGAGTTGGGAGTACAAGATCACTTGATTTCGATCAGCTGCAGGTTGGGGAATCAGACATGTATTGTCACGCGACCTAGCCGTCAAGCAAAGCAATCCGTTCGCCGATCTTCACTGCAGCAGTGGCCATGTGACTCAGAACATGACAAACAGACGTGTTTTGTGACGATATAATAATGTAAACAAATACTGTCTAATATTCGATGTCGAAGATGATAATTGTAACAGCTATATGGTTTCCACCGGCGTGGCAGCATTAAAACCAGCATTAACCATTGAAATTTAATGCAGCCCGGCCCCTGGAACCAAGAACCAAGATGCCCAGGACTCTTGAATTGTGGATCTTTGTTCCACGGGCCTGGTTGCAGCAAATTTCATTTTTTATTGCAAGTTTTAATGCAGCCGGGCCTGCGGAACCAAGATCCAAGATTCAAGAGTCCGGGGCGTCTTGGTTCTTGGTTCCACGGGCCGGGTTGCATTAAATTTTATTTTTTAATGCAAGTTTTCATGCAGCCGGGCCTCTGGTGAAGTCTGGTTGGCATGACACTGCATAAGTAGTTTCTTTCAGACTATGTAGTCATGTTCGTGTACACTATGTCTTCGTATATACTACTCCATCTTGCATGTGTGTGTGTGTGCGTGTGTGTGTGTGTGTGCATGTGTACTGAAGCGTGATGTCAAATATGTATACAGACAGGCTTGGAGGCAGATCCTGGGGGGGGGGTGCCATATATATATATATATATATATATAGAGACATGTGTGTATATACATATATATGTATGTATATATATATATATACATATGTATAAATATATATATATATATATATATATATATATATATATATATACAGTACACGTGTGTATGTACATACGTACAGACATACATACATACATACACATATATATATATATATATAGAAATACGTGTGTCCGTATGTATCTATGCATCTGCACCTCTGTCATTCTGTCCACCATCACCGGCGAAAGCCCCAAGATCTTGTTCACATCCGGAACTTCAAGTGCAAATCTAAGGATTGCTGCTCAAGTTTGACGGTCGAGGAATGTACACATAGCTTGTCAAAAGTTATCCTGCTGAATTGGAAGCTTGCCGAGCGCACTCAACACATTTACCCTTGACAATTTCGACTTGCATTCAACTGCAGCCTCTGAAATAGTCTGAAAGCATTGATATTTGTCAAGTCATGGGCACTATGGATGGCTGTGTTTGTGGCTGATGTATGGTGATTGATACCTGTAGTGCCAAGTCGGCATCCTTGGCTGTGCGCCCTGTTGGTGCTGCGCCCGATCACTCTTTGCCAACAGACAGTTCTCCTCTCAATATTCCTCTTCCTGCGCGCAGATGTTCCCCTCTACGCCTCTTCCCAAGCATCGGCATTGACCTCTATCTGTCTACATCTGGTGGAACATGCCTTTTGATATTGTAACAACTTTGGTAACATGCACCAATCAGGCCACAGCCAGACAGGAACGTAATCCACCCACTACCAACTTAGGCAGCATCCGGCCTTGTGCCGGAGAAGACCTGTCATGATCAAATACCTCCCAGGCAGGCATGTTCTGCTGCCAACATCAGAGCCGTCAACATCAGAGGTCCAACGTGCCTGAGCCCATCGTTCCGCGCTTCGATGAGCCAAGCCTGTCCTCATCTGAATTTGAAACCACAGCACACATGCATGCTACAAGAACAAAAGGCAAGCCGTACAAAACTTTGGATCCTTGAGGGAGCCTTTACAAGTCCGAGAGTGGTTTACAGGCAGCATGCAGCTTGCAAGCTGCTGCACAGCTGGCATCAGGACTGAGTCAGCACTAGCTTTGTGCAGTGAGGCTTAGACTCCTCGGGAAGAGGATGATCGTCGAGCAATGCGAGCATTGACAAGGTAACTCTACGAAGCATGTTGTAGCCGATCATCCTCTACCTAGAGCCAAAACAATCACGATGGACCTTTTAAAAGTCGTCGTGATGAGAGAGCAGGTTTGCACCCTCATGAATTCTTTCACGGTCCCCCTGGGAGAACTGCACAAAGCCCAGAGTGGCACCTGCTCCAGTTCACGGAGCTGCTTGTCTTGCACAAGTATGCGACCATTCTCCTCTGCATCTACAGCTTAGCGGCAGCTCTTGTAGCTGCAGTTTACCAAACCTCGATGCAGAGTTCTGCTAAAGCTGTCAGGGTAACTTCCCTTCCCCGGCGTGGGACACACAAGCACAGAAACAGAGAGACAGAGAGAAAGAGAGAGACAGAGAGAAAGAGAGAGAGAGAGAGAGATAAGTTAGGCAACTAGCCCGGCCGGCCGCTTCGCCCTGAGCTGCACAGTGCAATATCATGTTCCAAATAGGCGCCAGATGCAAAAAGCAAAAAAACAACATCAAAAACGCTTCCAAGTTGCCTTCTACTTTCTTTCGCCAGCTGCTTGGCTGATCGGTTGACCTGGAGCTCAACATTTCCACAAACATAGCTCAACAGGTCCAAGCAGAACCAATTCATCAAAAGTTTGATGGTTTTGACCTGTCCTGCACAAATCCAAGCTTCACACCAACCAACTGCAGCCCGGGCTTGAAAGTTATTACTAGGATGTGACATGTGCGTGCTGCTCACCGCCACAGGATGGGAACCGAAGAAGTGACACCTCCGAGCTCCCCGCACGAATTCCAGGGTCGTCCTCTGGCTCCCTTCACCTGGAGGCTGCTCGGAGTTCGATTGCCGCAGCTAGAAGTGGTTGCTGTAGAAACTGACAGTAAAGACCTTACAGGCTAAATACCAATATCCAAACCCGTGTCGAGAACTATCGGGGACAGACTCATCGAAGCACAGTTTCGAGCCAGGGTACCGCATGCATTCGGCGCCAAGTTCGCCTGGAAGCCGGATCGAATCACATTCAGCCATGCGGCTACAGGCAGATGGATGTCGGAAGGGGAGCACTTCACATCAGTTGATGCAGCTGATGAATCTGCACGTCGCGAACACTTCTCGCTTCATGAACCACGGTTTTGCTCAAGACCGTGCACGAGCGGAGGGTTGAGTGTGGTTCAGCTTGTGCGCGTGTCCAAGGGCCCTGGCGTCCAGCATCCAGTCATGTGCTGGGCTGGGTCTGCCACTTCTGTTCTCTGAGCCTTGCAGGTTGCCTGGTTCTCACCACACAGAACATAGCGCCGGATGCACAACCGCACAACCTGGGGTGGAAACGGCATGTCAAGCCAACGAATACTTAAATAGGTAAAAGAGCCAGAAGCTCCGAGAAAGGTTGCAGGTGTACTTTGGTGGATGTTCCGCCGACATGGCTGGCTAGCGACTAGCGCGGTATTGTGTGGTAACTTAACGACGCAGAAACCGTGTTGTCCCTCGCAGCTTGCCCTGTTCACCACCGCAGACAAACGCTATGTTTGAAGAGCTGAAGCTCGAGTTGAACTGAGTTGAGCACTGCAGAGTCCCGCAGCTCCTGGTCAGCCTGCACCTGAGCCCGGGCTCAGATCTCAGGAGTCACAGCTGAGAACACGCTCCGCCAATGAAGCATAAATCGGCCGGGTTGCAGGTTTCAAGTCGGACGCCGGGCGCAACGCACCCAACCAATGTTGCCCCTCCGGAGCGCTTGAGGGAGCCAAGGGCCCTGGCCCTGCCGAGGGCCCTGCCGAGGGCCCTGCCGAGGGCCCTGCGGGCCCTGCGGGCCCTGCGGGCCTTGCAGCTGCAGCTGCCGCCGCGGGCGCTGTCTCCGTAGGCTTCAGACGCTCCAGCGCACGGACAAGAGATCCGGCCCATGGCCCAAAGATGGAGTCTCCGCTCTGGCTTTCGCTTGGTCGCGGCTCTCGCGGCCCTGCGGCAGGGCCTGGAGCAGGTCGCTCGGCTTTGACGTCGCTCGTCAGAGCACTGGCGGCCTTGGCCGCATTCAACTGCAGCTTCGGAATCTGATGAATCTCCTTTTGCTGTTGCTCCTTTTTGGAAGAAGCCGGCGAAACAACCTCTTCTTCCACGTAATCGCATTTCTCTACTGTTGACGTCTTGGGAATATCGTGATCAAGCACAGAAGTAGTGGAAGCCTTGGATGCATTTCTGTTGCGACTGTCTGTTGAATTTGCCTGTGGAAAGCAAGCCTCATCAACAGAGTGCCTTTGAACGGAGCGATGCATCGGCTTGATAACGCCTTGGGCTAGACTGCTTGAGATCGCCAGCTTGTCCAGTGCTTCTTCCAGCTGCTGCTGGACCTTCCATGTGCGACGTCGCTCCAGTATCACCAGACAAGCAAAACAGAAGCTCCGCCGGTTACTGCGCTGCAAGGCAGCACTCATGCGTGAAAGCTCCGTCTCTGTGTCCCCTGCATCGAGCATTTGCTGCAACCAGCCCTGCTCGGCTTTACTGGCATCTTCGTTTCCCGACCCGTCATCTGTTCCCTCACTGGGAGCTCGCTCGCTTGCTTTTGGAGTGGCAGTTCCAGTCTTGAAAGTATGCAGAGTGTCCTTGCTGCTTCGTCGGCACAAGGCCCGCTCAAGAAGCACATTCCCCCCGGCGGGGCTTTGCATTTCGCTCATGATCGCTTCAGCTCCCTGGCCTTCCCACACCACAAATCGCCTCTGTGCACAACCGTAAGCCTGAGCCGAGATGTTGTGCAGTTCGGGCCAACCTCGCTTGATCTCCGGCCACAGCACCATCAAGGCATCGTGCAGCTCTTCAACGAAGAACTCATCCACTGTAGGTTGCTTCTCACGATCGGCAATATTGCGCATGTAGTGCGTGTCCCAACGTGTAATCGGCATTCGAAGTAAAGAGACCTGCTTCTTGGGAACGGGACTGTCTTCTTCGGGATCTTCCGTGTCTTTCGGGCTAGGGCTTGTCCAGAATCGCTTGCATCTCGCGATCAGTCCTGCGTACGCCCCGTACAGTCTCACCCTGACTGCCCCCCAGATGACGGCCATGAAAGGAACGTCGATCTCCATGTGACGCCGCAGCCAATCAATCTGCAGGCGCCGTGTTCGTTGACAAATCAGAACAGCCTCGCGAAGTGCCACCGAGACCAAGCCAGGAGTTGCCTGCCCGGAGAAGTTCATGTAACATTCCAGGGTACTCTGAAGCGCCACTGTAAGAAATCGCCGCTCCCGGTTGGTGAGCTCGCTTACATCCAAGCTGTTGTCTTTGCTGCAGAACTGGACCAAGTTTCCTGAACCCACGCAGTTACGATAGAAAGCCAACAGCACTTCCTGCCACCACTGCAACTTCATGCCGGCCAGGATTTTCAAGCGCAATGGGCGCACAACCATATCACTCACGAGTGCTCGAAGTGCATAGAACCAGAATACGAGGTGGCTTGCGATGACAATTGCAATTACACATGCCCTGAACACCACACTGGACAGCAGAGTAGCGACCAATGACGTCTTTCCGGCCTCTGACTGAGTTTCTTCGAAGAGCGACACGCCCAGAAGCGTGACGACCAAGCACCATAGGTTCAAGAGCTCCAACTTGTCCAGGACTTTGTACTCTCGGTTGTCGAAAGGATCTAGGCGCAGATGCTGGATGAAGAAATACATGCCCAAGCAGAGCATGATCGTCGATCGCAGCGTTTGCTGCGGAAGGCTAGCTGCAAATAGAATGGAAAATTTTCGCAACATGTAGATGCACTCATAATGATACGACTGCCACTGAAATCCGTTGTACAGAAAGCCCAACTTTCTGCGCGTTGAAGGCATCATCAACTTGTGCCTCCGCCTATACAGAAGAAGAAAAAAGACAGCGGGTATCCCCAGGCCATAAATCAGCAGCCCGGAAAGGCACAGAACGAAGACATGTGTATGCTCGGTACCTCGGCTGCACAGATCAAGCTTGCTATCCAAGGTTGCAATAGCCTTTTGCCCAGGAGCCAAAGCACACCACGTCCATGTTGACCATCAAGCGCAGTGTGTCGTACTCTTCACACATGGTGCCCTGGCGAAAAAGGTGCACCAGATGCGTTCTGAAGCTAGAACCAGCTAGCAGCTAGAAGAGAAGAGGGTGCCAGCATGGAAATGCGATGCGTGCACGCGCTGCGCTGTTAGTATACCAATACTTGTGCGACACGACCACGTACTGCCACTACCACGACAGCCGCAACAGCAACAACACAACGGTCACCAGGTCAAAACCACAACAAAACCCGGCCAACGACAAAATCCGCTCTCTGCAGCACAAGAACGACACCAGCACCAGGGCCCGCACCCTCACCCGGCCACATCCAGCAGCACAGTTTCAGTTTTCTGTTGTTGAATGCTCCTGCTTAAAACCACACTGCGCAACGAAGAGACTGCTCTTGCCCAAGGGATGACATGAGAAGGAGAAGAGCGGCGATACGGAGCTTCAGTACAGCACCTCGAAGGAGCCCTCTCAGTTCTCAGTGTGGGAGCTTTGGCAACATCACAGCGAGTTCCATGCCAGAAGCATACACAGTTGGGACGGTGGGGAAGCCCTGGCTTTTCGCGCTCTCAACCAGGAGACTGGATCGTGCAAGGGATCTCCGGCACTTTGTTACCACAGCTTCTACGGACAACTTTCAGCGGGACGGTTGATGTAGAAGGAACTCGACTAGGCCTTGAGAAGCGCCTGAATGATGGTCGGGTACAGCACGAAAGCCCACACCACCTCTGGCAAAGGCGAAGCTTCTGAGCATGTGTGGGCTGTGCAAGAGGGTGCGACAGCTTTGCAACATGTAAATCTTCGCAAGGAGAACCAGAATACAAGGCTTGGAGGGCTTGCTGTTGAGAGTCAACCTAGCAACGGAGAATCGCGGCTTCGGATGGAGGGCTTGCAGGAACTTCAGCATGCTTTCGCTTCTTTGCTGCAGAACACACGTCATCACTCAGTCATTGCCCTGTGGCAAACATATTCTTCTGCGATTATACCCTCCTTGCGGTGAGAGGCTCCAGCCCTGCAATGGCTGCCAAGATGCGGAAGATTGAACAACCGCCAACTTAAACTCCTTCCATTGCTTGATCCTCGGAACGCCACCATCTCGCGCTGAGTCTTGCACCCCGCAGCAAGGTTTAGGGTTCAGGCGCGTAGTAGGGGTTTCGACGCTTCAGGTGACTTGAGGCTCTGGCTCGTCTTCCGTGTCCCTCAGGCTTGCAAGGCCAGCGCTCGCTGCGCTGGCTTGGCTGGCTGCCTGCAAAACCAAGGTGTTTTTACGAGGGCTTAGGGTTTGGGGCGTTAGGGTTTAGGGGGGTAGCTTCAGAGCTTAGTGGCTTTCGGGCTTTTCGGTTCAAAGTTTCACCAGTCTCGGCCTCCGAAGCAGCCAGGCTCAACTTCGAGGAGCTCTTCGAACCCTTCCCGGTCGTCACGAGCTCATTCTCCGAGAAATGTCTTGTCAGAGATGTCCAGTTCCAGCTGTGATCATCGAACTGGCGGAGCCTCTCGACAATCTCTTTGTTGCGCTTGATGCGACAAATCAGAATGACATTCCTCAGAAGACGGGGAAGCCCCATAGTCAGCTACTGCTGACAGCGATCACAGGGCTCAAGAACCCTGCGCAACCTTGAGGACAAGGGAGACTTGAGACCCTTCGTGTCAAGCATCCGCAGCAGGCAGAAGAGCATGTTGCAGAACAGGGCTGCGGGCAACATGAAGATGGCCAAGTACATCTGGGCACGAAAGACGTGCCAACCAGAGCTTTGAAGCAAGCAGTCGTAGCTCAGCAGGATTGGGCCTGGCCATGACGACGTGTGAGATCACATAAGTGCGGATTATTACCCCCCCGGGCATACTGCCTTCATCCGTGGGTGCCGACGGGAATGATTTCTGCAGTTCTGTCCACATCTGGTCCCAAAAGCCTGTAGACTGCAGCGTAACCTGCACAGATCGGCTCAAGACGCCATAACTCCAACATGACAAGGAAACCGGTGGGCCTGGGCAAAAACCAAGTAGTTGATGACAATCTTTAAGATAATCGATTGCAGATGCCGAACAGAAAGGGCCGAGGAGATCGTGGCTTTGAAGACAATCGCTATGTAAGCCGTGCAGGCGAGGATAAGCAGGATGACAAGGGCCACGTTGATTTCCGTGGCCGGGCACTCCTGGCAGCGACCTGCCAAAAGAGATCCACAGGCAATGGACTGAATACTGAAAAGGGGTACGGCCGCACCAAAACCGTACTTACAAAGAGCAGAAGATTCTGAACAAACAATGCCGTCGGATTCATGCACAAGAACCAAGCGCCGTTTTGCTTTGAAAAGCCTACTTTTATTAAGGCATCCAGGCTACCTCTGCCCGCCCCAAAGACGATGGAACGTTGATTCGTAAAGCCATGCTGGCACTGCTCACAAAGAGTTCCAGTGTTGCTGCCAAGGCAGGTGTTGGCCCCGAGGCAGATGGAGGCAGGTCGGCACTTCTGGAAGTTCCAGGGTGTGAGGTCAACTCCGGACCTGTGGCAGCAAGCGCACTTTTGCAGAACACGCTCTTGCCGCCCCCGCCCCCACCCCACACTTCCTAAGTTCACGCAGGCGAGGTCGAGGCACTGTAAAGGCATGCGATAGTAGCCAGCACTCGCTTCTGGCAGCGCGGTGCCCAGTTCTGTGCAGTTGGCTCCAGTCGGGCAAGGTCGACAGTGTGCTTGCGCTTGGACTGCAGCATACGTACCACGCTCGCATGGGTGGCAGCTGGTCGTTGCTGAATGGCGGTAGCCTCAGTTTGCAATGTCGCTGCTGTCATGAACAATAGGGGAAAGGCCTTCACACCTCCTGAGCTGCTATACTCTCAGCTAGTCTGATTGCAATCACGAGCACGCCCAGCATCACAGGGCACACACTCTCGGAAGCGCAGAGCATGTCCTTCCTCGCAGGGATAAACCAGGAGCCGTTTTGCGTCCCAACTGGGCATCTCCTCCATTTCTTGACCACCTGAAGGGGCTGCTTCAACGACACCGTCTATTCGCGTTCCGAGCTCTTCACGCAAAAGAGAACTTGGTTCACGGAACGATCCTGGGCCTTTACCCAGGACAGTGAGCAAACTCGAGTTGTAGCGCTTGAAAGGAAGCTCCGATGCTGCGAGCGGTTTGAGCTGCACCGTGCGTGACACCAGGGCATCGTCGTCCATCATCCCACTACCAGTAAATGCTAGCCGGCCATAGAACGTGCTCAAGAAACCAGTGTCCAAAATCTTCTGCCGCAATTTCGAAGGATCGTAGGTCTCACTCTGACTGACAGCATCGATCAACAGTATCCCAGCTGCAGCTGCAGCTGCAGCTTGGTAAGGTGGCGCGCGACCGTAGGCAACCGTGTAAACACTGGAGAAATGGGAACCGTTTGCGAAGATTGGACACGCACGGCTGCAAATGTCATCGCCCAGCTCCGGTACCCACAGCGCAGGCCCTGCAATGAAGTTCGCATTCCGCGCCTCCACAGAACCGATCAGATCTGGATGCGAAGCCTGCGTGAGAACCAGCGCTTTCGGATTGAAATCCAACGCCATGGAGGCAACCACAAACATGGAAGCATCGGACACATAGCCACAACCGACCAAGACGTCGGGCTGTAAGGTCTTGATTTGCTGGACAATCAGCGTGATGTCGCTAGAAGACCATGTGAAGTTCCCAAGGACAGTCATCCCCAGTCGATCCGCCTCAGCAGCACCACCCGCACAGACTGACTTTGGAAACTCGCCGTCTGCATTCGCAAATACGGCGGTCGTCGCGGATAGTGCCTCATCTGTGGTCTCATCCAACATCACACGACAAGGGAACGATTCGGAACACTACTCCAATAATCCCGTCTGAGGGCTCCAGGCCAACAGCAGCGAGCACAGGGGCACTAGTTAAGCCAAGAAGCTTGAGTCCGTCGCATAGCATCGACCATATAGCTGTCCGAGGATACCAAAAGACCTCGAAGCACGAGATCAAAAATTATGAGTCATCCTTGCACCCAGCTGCTGTTGAATTGTAAACCTTTCTTCTCAGGTCTTGGCCGATAATGTGGTCGAAGCCCATCCGAAAGATCGAAGGTGACGCTGCTCCGGGCAGAAGGAGCAGCAGATCGGATCCAGCGCTCGCTTCAGCTGCGACTTCTGAGAGTTCTGTGGAGAAGGGACCGACCAACGCATCGGGTCCTTATTGAACACAAAAGCCCATCCGGGACACAGGAAAGTCCGGCAAAGCTGCATTCTGCCTTGCGCGAAATAGCACTTGTTTCGGAAGGTAAAAAAACCTCGCGGCTCGTATCTTCTCGGCAACAGAGTCAACGCTTCTCGGCCGGGGCGGAAGTGCACATGACTAGCTTCAAGCACTAAAAGCCTGGGTTACGGGGTCGAGGCATTCGTTGTGCCTGATGGCGTGACAGTGGGAGTGGTAGCCTGTTGAATCTCTTCCTTGACATGTCATCCCTGCCTAGCGCTACTTCTCTCGACAGCCTCGACAGCTAAGCCCGGCTCGTTCGAGGCCTTGCCTGGACACGAAGTCACGGTAGATGCGCTTCACTTCGTCAGCTTCGCTTCGATCGTCCACAAACCACAAGTGTACCAACAAGCGCTCCCCCCAGAATCCACGGACAGAGGACGTCGGTGCGTTGACCTGTGCTGCCCAAAGCTCCAAGCCCCGGCGGAGTTCGCGGGAAAGAACTGCATGTCGGCCCTCGCATGATACAGAGGCTGCCACCAGCAGAACCCGCTGACAGCGCGCCAGCGAGTCACAGAAATACTTCTGGGAGCAGTTGGAACCGGTGCAAGTGAGGTTGAGTAAACCAGGTTCAGGATCTCCACAGATATCGGCGGCAAGAAGAGGAAAGCACGCCAAGAAGCAGGCCAGCGCAAGTCGCCATACCACAAACATGCGCCAGATCCTGTCCTACCTGTGGGCTGGATGTTGCTGAAATGGAAAAGCGGCAAGAAAAATTGCACCGCACATTGCTGAATTTTGTCTGCAGAGCTGATTCTGCCAATGGACGAAGTACCCAACGCTGCGAGAGCCGAGAGGTCCCAGTGAAAGCAAACTGCAAACACCACAGCTGGGCTTCTGCTTCGTCTCAATTCTAGACATGAGCAGCGATTGAGAAGATCCACGCTCAGCTCGAGTCGACCAGAGCATCAGCTGCGGCGATGTCTGCCTCGGAACTACGGGCATGAGTGACATGAGCCAGACCCCCTGTCCAAAGACGTCGTAATCCATGCACGCCTTTCACATCTTAGGCTCAAGCTCTCGCAGCGCGCCTTCGCAGCAGCGACACTTGCCCTTTGCCATCTGGCTTTGACAGTGCAGCTACCTCCCGGCCTCTGTCTTCTTCGGCGGATGACGTTGAGATCAGCAAGGAGTCCTCTGAACAGGGCTGCGCATGCAACGAATCTTTATTGAACTGCCTCTGCACATGCCATCGTGTAGACCCCACAGTAGCAAAGCAAACAACAGTCTTGGAAATGAATCGAAATCCATCAACCTTAAAGGTTTTGCAACCGCAAGACAGAACCCAGTAACATGTGTTAGCAAGATCCGGTTTGCAGTATCATAGCTCCTCTTGGCACGCTCAGAGGAAGACTTATCGGTGAGAAGAAGCCGCAGATGCGTGTGCCACAACGTGTACTGCATGAACGACTTTAGACTCGAGGAGGGATCCAACTCAACCCGATGCAAAAGAGGTATCTCTGAATCCGAGTTTGGGTATCAGCAAGGATCGGCTCCTGCAGTCGTGAGGGCGACACATCCTCAGAAAAGCACGTGGCATTTCGACCAGAGACCTCGCTGCATCGCTGCAGCGGCAGCACCGGCGAACGAGTGGATGCAGTCGCAGGAGACCTTTCCCTTTCCGGCTCCATTGCTTTGGCGGCAGAGATGCTCTGCTTGCATTGTCGCACGTAGCAGTTCACGAAGTCATCCCACTCAATGATGCCTTCAGGGTCACCCTCAACCAACAGGCAGCGGAATTGCTGCCTGGGGGATTCAAAGAAAGCGGCCACCTCGGGTTCCTGCTGCCGCATGGCAGATAGGAGTTCAGCACGGACCACACGCCCGGCGCCCGTCACCCCATCAGGACTCATGAAGAAATCGCGGGCGCAGCGGTAGGCTCGTTCTCGCAAAGCCCAGTCGCTTCTGCGAACCTCATTGAAACTAGCCTGAAGACCCTCGCTTGGGCTTGGGAAGGAGTCTGGGCACCTGTCTTTGTCAGGCGTCTCAAACTCAGATTCCGTCTCAATTGGCTTGGGCGGCCCTCCGTCTTCCCTTTCATGCGGCCCTTGCGGCTGGTTCCCCAGGCGCCTTCGCAAGTGGGCCACTTCCTCACGTAGGCGAAGAAGCTCCGCATGCATCGCATGCTCTGCCTCTGGGGAGGCCGAGAGAGCGGAGGGGGCCGAGGGACTTGTCTCGCCTTCATTGGCGATCAGACTCGGACTGGCGCTCATGTCGTGCACTCCAAAGCTGCAAGTGCCGCCATCTAAACTCTCCATGACACCTACCGAAGCATTTTAGCTTCCTTCTTGAGCCGAGGCAAGCAAAAGCACCAGCAACCGCAAGTCAAACCATCTGTCTTCTTCACAGGTTCTGCGGCTGCAGACGCCCCAAGCGCACTTGAAGATGCGCTTGGAAAGCGGATAGTGTGGCTCTGCCTGAAAGCCACAGCTCACTGCTCGGAGCAGAGAAATCCAAGTCAAAGCCTGCGAAGTCACGGGGTTGATGAGCTGTTCTCCCGTGTGCTCTGGCCGGTGTGGCTCAAGCTGCTCGACCTCGGGAGGTTCGGCGTATAGTCCGTTTCTGGGATTTTTTCTGGGTATCGTGACCGTCGTGACTGAGCTGGCAACCAAGTCCATGGATCCCCAGCTAATGGCACATTTGGCCTCCAACTCTTCAGCTCGCTCCAGGTGGGAAAGGGAGGCCATAGTGTCTCGGCGGAGCCTCTTGCCGGCGCCAGAAGTGTGGTAAACACAAGGACCAAATACTCATCAGTACCTGTCATGAAGCCAGTGGCTATTCACATCACAGACCAAATACAGCACACCAAGCAACACAGGGAGTACGCAAAAAGGGATCGCCGTCACATTGTCGGGCGTCCGTGCCTGAGGAGACAATGCTGAAGCGGTTACAAACGCGAGGGTCAACGCCGTCTGAAGAATGTCTAAGCCACACGCACACCAGTCAATGAATTGAAGGAAAAGGCCTGCCATCTCCAGACTTCGCATGTTCGTTGTTGCTGGAATTATCAAGACTCGGGAGCCTAGGCACGCCAGCGGCGAGAGCCACTTCACATAGAAGGCCATCCACAAGAAGTAGAAGGTGATCTGAATCAAGAAGGGTGATGGCATGCCCCTCGAGCCCAATTCACCACGAGCAGGATTTACAGGGCACAGCTTCAGTGGCCTTGTCACCGAAGTAGTCCCGCAGCCGATTTGCGTGCTCTTCGTCAGGCCAGAACCATTTGAACTGGCAGGGTCGAGTCACGTGGAGCTCATGCAATTGCCGAGCTCGACATGCATCCAACGAAGCCTGGAGCGACTTGATCTTATCCATGACGGACTGTTCATGCAATGGGAAGAAGGCCTGGCAGATATCGGCACATGGAACTGATACTGGATCTGCGACCCTGCTGCCATGCGTTCTCACCTTCACCTCTTTTTGGTGCAAGAGCTTCGCTACGTTGATGCCTTCGTGCAGCTGCTGCAAGAAATTCCAAAGTCTCAAGCTCTCATGCGTGCAAGTGATTGCAGGCACCTGCACAGTCTTTGTCCTTGGATTGGATGATGTGGGAGATCAGCTGGATCCTCGGGCATTGGGGCGGTCATCTGCAAACAACAGCTTCTTGCAGATGATGCTGAAGCACTTGTCGACCGTCTTGAAGATGCCGCTGCCGTCCAGATTGTCCTGGTGATTCACGGACATGCACGAAGATCGCCTTGTGCATCCCTGGTTCTAAGTGCCACGGTCGTGGTCCTCCGTGTGTGTTTGGTAAATGTGCGAGATGATGCGCCGGTCAGCGAAGCGGAACTCCGGCCTGGGGCTTTCGGGTGCTGAGGCAGTGAGTGCAAGTCACAGTGCTACGCTGCTACGCTTCGAAGCCTTCCCGGATAGTCGTGCCGGAACTCGGCAAAGGCACTCAAATACTCCTGCAGACCGGCGCATGCACCACGGCATGTACCACCAACTTCCACCACCAACACGGGCCTTCTTAAGCTGAAGCTTGTATCGCTTCCTTTCAGGCATCACGACTTGTGCTTCGCCGGCGTTGGTTGAGTAAGTCTACGATCTTCCAACCTTGCAGCGGTGTCTCGAAGCTTCTGCGCACCAGCTCCGATCTTTACCTGAATCATGGCACCATGGCACTGCATAGCCCACTGGTTGCTCACCGGTTATACAGCTCCCTGCTGAGGCTGCAGCCAAGATTTGATCTCTATCTCTGCTGTAGAAGCAGTACAGGTTGAGACCACAGTTCTGCAATTCGACAAACACGGATACATGCTTCCGTCAAGACGGAAACACAACTGCCCCAGCTTATTCCCACAAGCGCTCCTGCAACGTCTTTAGGATCGATTCCCGATGTTGCTTCCACATCTGCGATGGAGTAGATGCTAACTTCTTGCAAGCATGCACGTGGAAGACACCAGCACAGCGTCAGGGTTTTCGTATGAATAGCCCGCCACCGATGTATCGTCTTGCAGCACCACAACCTAGAGGTTGCGAATTCGGCGAAAAACGCTAATTCAGATCACTTGTTGATGCCTACACAAAGTGTACAGGCACTTCACGAGTGAAACTTCGACCTGCTTTGCTTTGCAAGCGGGCTGAATCAAATTCCACCGGCCGCTGATCAGCCATGTAGAGATCTGTACAACAAAGGCCTGCCTTGAGCAGCACCGAAGAATGAATCTGAGCGAGAGGCCTTCGTTGTCCCATGTGTCTTCATGTATTCCGCGAATCATTAGGGAAAGAGCTTACAAGGGGCACATCGCTATCCTTTTTTGCGTTGCTGCGCTTGTGACTCTACCGGCGGCTTTCCCCTATCATTCTGCAAGGACCTGTGGCCCTGATGTTGGGGACAAGATCAAACATGAATGCTACAGCCCCAATTCACCTTGTCCTGGAGCTGGCACAACCCTCTTGTGCTCTCCGCCAACTAAGTCTGTGTACTTGCACATCTGCCAAGTAGTGCATTGACATTTTGTCTGATTGAAGTGACTCCGGGTTCGCACGAAAAGCCTCTTGCGACATGCAGGTGAAAGCCAACCTACGTCTACTAGTCTCAGTCGTTGTTTGTCTATCGAAGATCAATGCTCATCATGTCTTCCTTGCTGTTGGCACGAACTTGACCAGCCTCCTTACTGTCTCTCAAGGACCGAGGACCCACTACGAGCAAGACACGATCAGAGCTCGATGTCAAACCTCGCGGTTAGAGCTGCTCGAGCAGCCTCGGCTGGGAACAGCTTCTGGTTTCTGTCGGATTTTGGATTTGGGGCAGCGTAGAACTAAACCTTGGCTTGCCATCACGTCACTGAGGAATCCCGCGAGGAGGTACTGGCCTTATGGCAAAACAGAGCAGCACTGCGTGGGCAAAAAGAAGCTGCACCATCTGGGAGCCAAGAGGGCCCGGGCATCTCTGCTGCCATGTCTCCCTGCACAGAGGCAGGAGTGGATGCCTATTTGCATAGAAGCGCTTCTGACTTGGCTTCGAAACCCAAGTCTGACAGACAACCCATCCCTGCGCACGAGCAATTCTGATACGCGCAGAATCCGAAACGTGGAGACTTGAGCCATGTTCTCCAAATCAGCTCAGTTCATCGGACCATGGCCCCAAACTGCGAGTGAAAGAATCCCCCGGCAAAGCTGTGGCCTTCAGTTGGGCCTCGCACCTGCCAACGAGATCTAAATGCCTCCACGCAACACAAGCTAGACAGCAGCTGGGGCCCGTTCCTCAGGCAGAAGCTCTGGCACTGGCAGAGCCTGGGCCACTGGGAACTGCCGGCAGGCTACAGCGGCTACAGCCTACAAATCCCTCAAAGAATCTTGGCTGGCCGCTCGAGGCTTTGATCGGCGGCGGATGCCCGTGGACCTTGACATAACCGGAGATTGGTGAGTCGAAGTGTCTAAACTCTAAACCATGTTGCGTACCCAAGCCCCGAACATGAAGTTGGGTACTGGCATGACGATGCGGTTTGCCTCATGCTGTCATGTCTTGTTGCGGAATAAGGGTCCCTTCGACAGCACAAGGCCGGGGCCAAGGATGCCGTGACTTCCTTCATCACTGTCGCGGGAGGCAAGGACTTCGCACCTGATGTCCGAATGGACAGGCTTCTGTAACATGAACTAATGACTAACGACACTTGTGCAGCTTGCAGCACTTTACGGTACAAGCCCCGCGCTCGAAAGTCTAGGCCAGGATGCGAAGCTCGAGCTGCCCAAACCTGTGTTTGCTCTTGTGGTTGGCCGCCGCAGCCACATGCCCTTAAACACCCTCATGCAGCACCGCCTCTGTGCTTGGGGGGGCTTCTTCGCCCGGACACGGGAGGTCGCCGACAAGGCCGACATGGCCTTGTCTGCAAGATTCAGCATGAAAGAACATGTGGCGGAATCACCCAGGAGCGTGACTCGACGTGCGCTGCTGCCGCCTCGCTTTTGAAATTTTCAGAAGACAGTCAAGGAAACTACCTTTCCTTGTCCAAGCCATCGATTTGGCTCTGGGAGACGAACAGCAGTGAGGATTTCCGACAGTGGACCGCAAGGTATCTCGCCTGAGCTCTTCATAAGGGCCGGGTCTGGGCACGCTCACTTAATCGGTCTCGCAGGTGCCTCCGCCACATCCATTGCCCCGAGACCTGGGAGCACTCGGTATGCCTTCTATGTCTTGGATGACATGTGTTGGGACCCCTGCTCAGCACCAATCATGGGCAAGCCTTGAGAACGAGCTCGCATCCTTGCAGCTGCATGAAAACATAAGTCAGCGGAATTGGACCGCTGGCTCAGAGAGCCAGCACACAGTTGCGTGGCTTTCGCAAGGCAACAGAAGATGCATCACCGCCCCACAGTCTGCACGAGTTGACCAGGTTCGAGATTTGTTTATCGATGCCCGGCATCTTGCATGGTTCCGCAAGTTCTGCCTCGGTGTACTCTTGCAGACGAAGCGACAGTACCGTGTACTGTCGGCACGAAGGCTCTCCTTCATCTCTGCAAAGAAGAACCTGTTTGTAGTGTTTGGTGCTGTGTTGGTAGACTGTGCGATCTGCTCCCAGAATGCCAGCCATAAAAAGGCGCTGCAGCATGTTGCATCCGGCACGTGTGTAGAACCCTTCCGCCTCTCCAACAATAATATTCTCATCCACAACACCCCACGAGCGTAAGGCTGGCACAGGTTCGGCGATGACGACGCCGGCCAGAGACCTCCACTTCCAGCTTTTAGAATCCCACCTTGGCGCGACATACGACTGGGTCGTGCACCACCCGGCAAGGACCTGGCACGGTTCGAAGTCTTTGCAGCCTATCGCAAGCCTTCGGTCTCGAGTTCTTCCCACGATGCACAAACAAAGCGCGAAAAGGGCGCACCGCTGAAAGTCCTTCCCATCCTGAGCATGCACAGAGCAGCCGCACTTCCGTAGGTCATACTCTCTTCTGACATCAATCAGCAGACCTCCTCCTCGTCAGATGTCTTGAAACACTCCAGCCTTACACGCAGTGCGCGGTGCTTGTCAGGAAGAAAGCTTGAAGTGATTGTGCTCGGGCAGGAACATGGAGCAGACATCATCATTGCTCGACTGCAAGCCCGAAGCCGCATGCCCACGCCTTGGTCTTTGTTTGATGGACGCATGCGATGAAGTGGGAGTGCCCAGTTTCACGGCCGCAATGGGACGGCTAGGTGCACTGCAGCAGGCTTTCCAAGTCAGCCGCTCGAAGCTCTGGCAGAACCTGCACGACTGGCGGGCTTAAGGGACGCACGCAAAGACCGTACGCAGCCCGGGCCTTCAAAAGCTTCTTGCACTCCTTGCTCTTCTCAAAGGATTTTGGTAGTCCTGATGGACAGCTCGTGACCAACCCGAGTGACACGTGGAGCTTTGGGCTTCGTGCGTTTGGACAGCATCCTCGCTCGACTGCCTTAAGGAAGAAACGTCCGCCCCAATCAGAGTCAGACAAGACCTTCCAAGGACTCTTGTCAAAGGCCTAGGATCCTGCTTGGAAGATTGTCCCGAGGTTTGCTATCTCGCTCTTCGTGAAACTCCCAGTCCTCAGCATCATATTCGCAGTCAGAAATATGAAAGTGGCGGTGAAACAAACTGCCTTGCAACTGTGCTCTCCGGGAATCTGGCTGCATCCACCTAATGAATCCCAGCAACGGTGAAGTATCAAACTCTTCACTCGGAACTCGCATCGCGGGAGCCTCTTGCCAAGCGAATCTTTCCAAGACGTCGAGGCTGTCTCGGCCTCGAGTTTCTTAGAAGTTGCTACAGTGTCGAGACAACAGCGAAGCCACTTCTGAGGCACGAAGCAGGCATTTCCAAGATCCTCAATGAGACTGCCCTCGCTCGCCTGAGCAGCGAATCTCTCTGCCGGGCCGCAACGGGGAGCAAAATTCCGTGTTGTGCGGCTGTGCGGCCTGTGGGCTGTCGGACGAACTCGAACTGGAGGAACCCGCATCGTTGAAGGCTTTGGCTGCCTTCAGGACTCATCAAGAAGCGTGGCAAGCCGACGAGTGCTCGACAACTTTTACACCAAAGCTCAGGCATGGGCACAGGGGAGCTGCCGGTGGAAGTTGGACAGGCGCGCGTAAGACGCGCTCCGAGCCTCGACAGAGGCTTGGAACAACGCTATCACTGTCAGTGCACCCAGTTCTCCAAGCTGCGGGCCAGCCGTGCGCAGGCGGAAGGTCCCAAATTGTCGCAAGCGGCCTGACGAAACCAGTCGCGGAGGTGGGCTGATGACACGAGACTGAACTCGACGTATCGGGGGCATTGCACACCACTTTCGGCTGACAGCGACCTCCATGCGCATAAGGTATTCCATCAGCAAGAGGCCTCGGGACGTGCTTGAAAGCGTGCGATTTTTCAGCGCATGTCGTCGTCAAGCAGCTCTTAAACGCGGCAACCACAGAAGCTCTAAGCTCGCGGAAACCTCGAACCATGTGGTGGTGGAAGGTCTTCCCTGATGGATTTGGCCCTTCAACTCGATTCTTGATCCAGACACTGACAGAGAGCTCGTGGCCACTCATGCGCGACTGCGCCTACTGCTTCGCTGCTTGGAGTTTCGGTTTCTGCACAACAAGTACACGAATTATGGCGGAGTGGCTGACATGATCGATGTCGACTGTATCCGGAGCTGTAGCACATGAACATGGAATGGAAAGCGCGATTAGTCCTCGGTATCAGGAGAGGATACAGTATACTTTGTATAGTGTGTTGAACAGGAAATTTCAAAAACGTCGCAACAAGAAAGCAAAGATAAACGAAAGAGTGACAGCTTTAGCTGGTGCTGGAGATCCGTTTTCCGGAGGCAGGAGATGGCAGGAGTCAAGAATCGGTCGCTGGAATTTTGCCACTGGTACAACAGTAAATCCTGGAGCCACCTACACACTACGAAGGTTTGCTGCCACTGCCCTAGAAGTCCGGGCACCAAGAAGAGTCTCCCAGCTGTATTGCGATAACTAGAACATTGACCCCAAAAGCTCAAGCTCGACATGTCATACGACGCCAAGCAAGTGTTGATGCTGTCGACCCTGCTAGCCCAAGGGCCAGACAAGAGGCCATGTTCACCGAAGAGATGGGGGTGGGCTTTTCTTCGTCAGCCTGGGGCACTTTAGACCAGGCAGAAGTCAAGTTGAGCCACATCAGCAGGCCTGGCTGGTATCCTGCGCCTGAGGATCCGGTTTTGGTCGAGAAGTCCTTCCTGCCACCACGAAACGCCAGTGAGCCATGCCGGAAAATGGCGAAAGACTTGGCTGCTTGGTTGGACATAGAACTTTGGAAACCTCGTTCTGACCCAAATTTCGGGAAGCAAAACCCCGATGAATCATCGTCGCGTCCTGAAAGGTTTCGTAGCGTACGGCGGGCAGCCATGAGCGCGTACTGGCAGCCGACATACATGCCACATCGGGACATCGGCTACTGCAGCACTTGGCTTCAAAGAGAAATGCTGCCAAGGCCTCTCGGTCCTCCAAGCTGCTGCCGGGGTCTGCCACGCTCGGCGGGAGCGGCGACACCGGAACGGCGGACCCTTGTCCAGACCATGGCTCCTGCAGCCACAGATAGGCACAGCTCCGCATAGCTCCGCACATCTCCGCACTTGCGGCTCTCCCCGGTCCTTCGGTCCCAGGATGCTCTCCAGGTCCGCTACATCTCGTGGTCGATGCCAGTCTGACTGAGTACCCTCCGGCAGAGCCCTCACAGATCGCATAGCTTCTGCCTTGTCTTCAACCCGCCCGGAACCCTCGGCCCGCTGATCAGGTCTGATCATCTCCGTCGCCGAGCGCAGCGGGGGAGGTCCGTAAAGAATCGAAGCCAAGATTTGGGATAGTGATAGGGGTGCAGTGGGGAAGCCGCTGCGAGACAAACTCCCGGGCTGCATGCGGCCCTCTGATAGGATGCCATAGCGCTTCACGGCTGCACGTGTCGGATAAAGGGAAACGAAGTTTCGACATCGCGCACGCTCACCTATGGACTTGGCGATCATCTTCAGAGCTGACTCCGGTAGCGCATTGAGAATAACGGGTGGAAGATTCTCATCGACAGAAACGTCCTCCTTCGTGCATTCACCTTTCCCGCTTGCCTGCTTCCAGGGCTGTGCATGCCGGGCTCTGTCTTTCGGGGTTTGTCTCTCCGGCGAGCTCACGCCCACAAGGTTGAAGGTGTCAGCCAACAAGGAGCTTTTGATCTGCCAGTCAAGTGGGGAGTCTGCTTGCATGCTTGGGCTTAGGTTCACCTCCAGCAACCATGGCTTCAATTCATCGTCTACCAGCACGTCAAATCCGTAGAGCTCGAAACAGTTTTCCCTGCCTGCCAGAACTTGTCTCGTTCTGCTGCTGATCGCGGGCTCTACCGACATCAACGTCTTCACAATCAAATCCATGATGCGAGTCCACATGAGATCAACATCCACTCCGACACAGCGCAAGTGCTTGTTCAATGCAGACAAGCTCCACTTGTGGCCGACATTGTCGCAGCGAAGGTCACTGTTTTCCACAAACGTGCAGGAGTTTTTGTTGATTGAGTAGTTTGTCAAATGACGGAAGGCGTCCTGCATGTGATCCGTTTGTGTACTGTAAGGTGCCGACGCGAAGCGAGTCAGTCCTTCACGATAGATATACGCTTTCAACGGGTCGAAGGAAGTCACCAGCACATAAACTCGCAAATCAAACTTGAGGCCTTGAATCAACAGTGGATTCATGATGTACCGTGAAACTACGACCGTCTCGTCGACAGGAAGCTCTGAAAGATCTTGGAGGATGAAGATTCCTCTACCTCTCGACGACGAGTTGGGCTTGACAATCCAAGTGCATCTCGTCCTCTGGTAGCATGTCAGAAACTCATCAAACTGTTCTGGTAGCACGTATGTCTCCGGTACGAAATCGAAACAGCGCTTGCCGTAGTTGCGCGCCATCTCTGCAAAATGATGCCACAAACGATCTTTCCTGGTCAATTCTGTTGACCCGGGGAAGTGGTTTATCCTCTGCCATTCAGTCATGCTCTGGTATACAGCATCTTTGATGTTGGGCCCAGACCACTGGATCACATAATCATTCCCAAGGGTTGGAACAATGCCGTTGTGAAGGAACGTCTCTTGCAGGAGAGGAGCATCCGCGCCGTTCAACAGGAACGCTGGCACGCTCGGGGAGCGACTCTTTGCTGCAGTCCTGCAGGAACTAGATGCCCCTGATTGTTGACATCGAGGGCATGCATGTTTGTCTCGGGCTCTGGCTGCGAACAAGCCTTGCTGCCAGAGAATGGCACTGGTCGAAATCTGAGTGCACTTGGCTCAGGCTGTTCCTCATTGACATCTTCTCTTCAACGTCCTGAAGCCTGCTGAGGCTTGGGCTGCATCATAGGACGGTCCAAACCACGGCTAGAAGCTGCGAGCAGCACCTTGACACTGATAAGCTGATAAGCTTCCGACGGACACGCAAACTGCAGGCAGAGAATCGGCCTCTCCCAGCCGACCTTCCAACTGCGAGGCCGCGGGCTCACGACTTGCAAGATCCTCGTCCTTCAGAACTTCAGAGCACAGCAAACACTTCTTGCACTCAGCCGCTGCGCCCGTGGCACCTCATCTGACGTGTAGCCAGGCACCTTCTGCCACAAGTCCCGCGTAGGCTGCTGCATCCTGGCCAGTATGCAGGTGTCGCTGGAGGGCGCTCGAGTTCAACTGAAGCATCCTGCCTTTGGCACGCAGCTGGAGCAGGGCACTCCTGGTGCTATCTTTGCCTGACAACACGGTCACCACGCAGTGCCAATTGCATGAAAATCTGTGTCCCGGCGCTCCTTGTGCACGGGTCGCGCACATGTTCTTCGGAACTACAGCTGTTTATGCATAGTTGTCTTCGTCTTCGACTTATGCATGTAGTCGCATCAAGTCAAATGATGATCTGCAGACTGGCCACTCATTCACGATTCAGGCTCATGAGCTGCTCTCCAGCCAATGGAGCATGTGACTGCCTTGTGTGTCCGCCTGTATCCCCCTTGTGATACTGTGGTTAAGCCAAGGTCGACCAGAGCACAGGAGATCACACCATGCTTGATGACATCACACAGCCTCAAACAGAAGTCCAGAACAGTCTGCTGCAGCTGCGGGTCACAACCTGCATCTTGGTGTGATCCTCTGGCCCAGCAGGTGGCAGAGCCTCCCCATACACCCGTAAAATCATCGCAACTACCGGCCAAGGCCGTCTGACATCGTCTGACCTATATACCCGGTTTGTATGTCGGCAATAAGGCGGCGGACCCGGTGGAACTCGTTTTCTTGCTCGTCAAACCTGGTCGAGAGCTCAAATCCCAGCCCGCTCCGGTCTTGTCGGGCCGCTCTTTCGATCATGAAATCCAGAAACAAAGCAAAGCACCCGAGGACGGCACGCAAATCTTTTGTCCGTCTTGTGCTGGAACACCTGCCAGATTCTGCCGAGGAAGCGCCGCACGGAGGCGCAACGCGGAAAAAACCAGGAGGAGATGCCATGCAGACTTCGTAAAAGCGCCGCATTGGCACATCCGGTGAATCCACACCTCGCAGAAAGTGTATCCAACCAACACCGCCGTCGACAAGAAACACCTGTCGCTGATCACACCGGCCTCTGCCAGAGGCTGCGTCTAGCTGCTCATACTCCCCTTTGGTGTACCTGGCCGACAGAAGAGGCCAGCATGGCTGTTTAGTCGCGGGGGGCAGCGATTCTCCACTCTTGAACATAAATGAAAGCCGCGATTATGGGCCCTCCGCGCACGCTGACATCGCGGATCGCGGCTGCAGCCCACCTTCCGCTGATGGCAGGCGATGTAATGGCGATGAAGAGGCATGACAAAACGTGGCAAGGCGGGAGGAGCGAAGCCGGGCCTCCGGACAGTCGAAACTTAGCCTGAAGCTTTCGAGAGGGCTTGCGCGATCCTGTGAGACAAGACGCCCTACCAGAAGCGTTGACATGCCTCTCACTGCTACCAGGGTCCTCCTTGCTTCAGGAACGCAGCAAAATGATCCCTAGAAGGACATCTACAGAGTCAGACTTGCAAAGGTCTTCGCCTTCGCTGAGCCACCAGGTACGCAAAGTAGGCGAGATGATGAAGCGCAGTAACACCGCGACACGATGACAACAGGCGGAAACAGGAATGGAGCCTCTTTCCGGCAGCACGCCAGACTGGATTGAGGTTTAAGTTGACAGACGCCCTTGGCTTCAGACGGCCTGTGCATGCTGCCTGAAGCGCACGGATGCGTTTTGTAGGCGGCATGGAGCTTAGCCCAGCATCCTACGTTGCGAACTTTGTCGAAGGCTCTCTGTACATCGTAGAGCCGAAGCTTCCCCTTTCGTTGCGCCGAACCAAGCAATGGACCGATGCTGCGACTCGTCATGCACTACATGACCTTGGCGCATGGCAGTCTTGAGTATTGCTTCAGGTTTGTAGGGTTTGCACAAGTGTCGTCTACGTCCGAGTCAGGTGACACAGTGACAGAGACAAGACTGGCAGTGGAAATTGAGGCGGCGACATCGCAAGCACCGGACTTTGGCGAGTCCTTGCGCTCTGAAACCATGAGAGGAGCTGCAAGTCGGTATGAACAAAACCCCACGCAGCCTCCGATTTCATCGGGGTGGCGACAACTGCAGGTTCGCTGCTGGACTCCTGAATTCCAAGCAGATCTACACGCAGGTCTAAGTCGGCATCACAAAGTGTCGATCAGTATTGTCCTGTGCAAAGCTCATGGTGCCAGAACGCATCTGAAGCCTGAAGTGCAGCCAGCTCAGGCAAATGCCCCTTGCGCTCACACACTTGTTCGAGGCTTCTGCTGTCTTGCAGTTTTTCGGGCGAGCGCTTGGATGTCAGGAACCTGCGGTGTGACACTGAGATGACTAGTGACTGGACGGATTTTTTTGGTTATGAATGCAGACCGGCAGCTGAATCCTTCCACGTCTGACCCTTGCAAAAGCTGCCGAGGGCCTGCACAATACCCTACAATGCCAACGCCACGGGAGTGTGCTGCACAGCGGCATAGCGTATTCTCGTGCCTGGAACCCCCATCGCTCTCCATCGCCACCACCCCTGGCTGGATGAACTGAGCGAGCCCGGACGCATGAAAACATTGAGTTCCCGGCTCCCTGAACAGTCTCGCCATAATGAGCCCTCGCTCACCGCGGCCCTCTCGCAATACCTGAGTGCAGAAATGCCATCGTTTTACCTCCGAGTTTCTGGGGCTTGTTGTGCATCTCAGGTGGCTCGTGGTGAAGACCAAAAAACTTGGACTTAAATGGTCGGATACACAGCGGTGCACCACGGACTGGCGCCCGAAGAAAAACAGACCTCAAAGGATCCTGAATTTCAACGCAAAAGCAGGACTCGTGCAAGTTCATATGCAAGATACCTTCAGTTTGATCTTTATGCTTGGTGTTCCCAACATAAAGGAATGCACGGACCTCTTGGAGGTCATCGAAATGTTGCCCTGTGAATGCCGACCCTTCGCATCACGCGGCTCGCAGGCTGGGGAGAGTGCATAGCGAGCCATCTCCTCACCGGATGAGTCCAATATGCGACCTTCAAGCTGTAACACCACAGCATTCACGACAACGAACAGGCAATCAAAGCACCTGCAACAGAGTCCACGGCAATATGCGTTCGACACCTTCTCAAAGGTAACTCCACGGGTATAAACCTCATCAAATTTCAATCGACAAAATCCTTCAACCTCACTCTGAGACTGCAGCATTCACCACGAACACAACTTGCTGAATGTCTGCCTGGCAAGCATGGAAAAGCACCTTTTTCCGCAATTTCTGGGAAGCAACGTGTAAGCTGCACCGGGATATGTTGAAGATTGGCCGTGATGACCTGCAAATTCTGGCGTGTTGCGTGCACGTAAAAAGGTCCGGAGGCAGGCCTCGTCGTCCCCGTCGCCCTGACGGAATGGTCAAGAGCTGACAACAGGGCTTGCACTAGTTTCCTGGGTCCTAGCCTGGAGCCTGATACCTGTACAGCAGCCTTCTGCTGAGCATTACAATTGGCTCAGCTCTGTTCCGTCACTCACAAGCGAGACCTCCGAAGCGCGCCTCGCCGGTGAGATTGTCCCCGCTGTGTGTCAACGCCCAGCCCTGCTTCAAGCGCCACTTCTGATGGTCCGCCAAACCAAACCCACGGAGGCCTCCAGCTCGCCAAAGAAGACAGCACCCTTGACCTTCGTGGCGACATGCTTCGCACATGGCATTCAAAGCTCTCTGAAGGACATAGCAGCATTGCAACTTGCAAGAGTGCTGGGTGCCTCGCCTGCCCGTCCCCACCCACGACAACTGCAGACACCTCCATCATTGCAACAGAAAGAGCCGAAAGATACTTCAAGGCTTTCGCGGCCGAGAGTGGGGCGTCCAAGTCCACATCAACACCAGCATCCGGGCACACATCCCACCCTGACTGAACATGCTGAACATGCCACATTGCGCCAGGCCAGCTTCACTCACTAGGCCTAGGCAAGCTTGCACTTTGCCGAGGGATTCAGCTTGCGGCCTCTGGCAGCTCTTGCATGCACAGTCGGATCGTTCTTGCGATCCGACCACGTTTCAAAGGACCCGACAAGTCCACGACCGATGCCTTCTCCATTGCAAAAGCCACCTGACAGTTGCCCACTGAAGACATCACAGCCGAGAGATGACCGGAGAGCACCTTTTGGCGCTTGGGGGCTCCCGGAATTGCAGCACGGATAATGTTCCTTGGATCTGCTGATTTGCGGCCCCGTGCTCTACCGCTTGGAACCATTACAACTGAAACAAGGCTCCCCAGCACTGGTTCGAGGATGTCGATGAAGTGCCGGCCTGACACGAGACTCCTGTTTTGTTGCGAGGCGCTCAACATTGGTACCTTCTCTCGCCGGCTCTTCAATGATCTGCATGTGCCAGCCACTATCCTTCGAGATGATTCATGTGCCATGAGTGAATAAATCAGGCTGTAACAATGAAAACTTGCCACAAAGGACCAGAGTGATTTCAATGAAGCAAATGCAGCTGCGACGGGAAAACTACCCACTTCTCGCCCCTCTACGGCATGCAGTCCGTGCGCAGAATGGATGCAACAGCGTCCACTGCGTGGATGCTTTGCTCCAATGCAAAGCAAGCCACCTGAGCAGTCACTTGTTTCGACATTTAGCCCATCTTCGCAAACGAGACGTCGGTCGGGTGCGACTGTGTAGTTATCACAAAGCATGGGAAAGCCTCAATGCATGGTTTCATGCACACACGCTCACTCTCACTCTGACTCTGACTCTCACTCTAACACTCACTCTCTTACTCCATGGGGTCGTCGATCACATTAATTACCGTTGACGAAAGATCTAACCACATCGTTGAATCACGATAAGGATTTCGGTTTGCAAACCGCCCTGGACCCTGGGCCTATTCCACTTTGGAGACCATCTAGTCTAAAGTCTAAAGGCTGGAACGACACCCGCACTTCAAGTGTTGGTCACATTCTGCCAGGTTCGAAAAGCGGTATGCCAGCGCTGTTGAGCAAACAACGTGACACACGTGGCAAACTGTTCCAAGAAGCACCTCTGAAGCTCCCACGTGCACATGCTGCATCAAGGCCTGGCAGTCTTTGTTCCCTTCCAGCACGTGCAGCTTTCCGTTCTTGGCCTTGTGTGTATCTTCCATCCAGCTATGCTAGCACTGACTTCAGCAGCATCACAAATGAAAGTGATGCGGCAGGAGGCAAGTTCACAAATCAGATTTAAGCTGAAATAGCCTGCAGCTTCGCAAACAAGCCTCGGGCATCACGCAAACTGCCACCGCTGTATGCGGCAACTACGAAGATCAGCAGCCTGCTTGCAGCGATCACAGCCGAACGCAATTGATAAGTCTGTTCTTCGCGGGTTGCCTGATGTTCTCTGGCAACTTTGGCAGATTCATCCAGATAAGCTCGTCGAAACCCTCCTGCGCACATCTTAGTGGCGCGGGTAACGCAGATGGCTCGTACAGAATGTCACAACATCGACTCCTTCTGACCCGTCTGCTCATCACCAGAATGAGTTAGGGATCCTTTAAGTGCCTGGGATGCATGCTGTGACATGCATAATCATCAGACGCAGCAAGCAGCACTGACCCCATCAGCAGAACCAGCCTTCATGTTGTTGTAGTACACCGCATCAACTATACATCCTCGATCATCAACTACCACAGCCTGCACCAGCAGGATGGAAATATCACCTGCAAAAGCTTCGACAAAACAACCACGAAGGTGCCTGCAAGTCCAAATCCACGGCCTTCCCTTCAAGATCCCATGACCTCGCTGCTACAACCACAGTTCTTCTTCACTTCATACAAAGGATACTGTCTGAGCCTCTGACACTGCAACACCGTACCTGCCGAGTGAATCCGCGCTTAGGTCTGAGGCATATTGTAAACCCCTCGACACCAAGCGAATCTTGCAAGTGAGAAGTCAAACCTCGATGACTTCAAGGCCACGTCCTCCGCATGCATGAGTGCACCTCGCAGAGCCAGCTACTCGTCGGAATACAGACCACGTGAGAGTGCACCCATCGACCGCCGAGGAATCCGCACATCACTGCTGCAAGCTGGTGAGCATGAGCTCGCAACCATATTTCGTTGCGGAAAAGCTGGAATCCAAAACAAGCTTTGCTATTACATGCATTGTGTTTGACACGCTCTCACTCGTGGGTCAGATCTCTCGCATGTCATTCCAATGTTGCGATTGTTTACAGGCTGAGGTTAGCGTGAACGTGAACATTGTTGTGCCGCCTGTGGTCCCCATCGGGTCCAGAAAGCTCGTCGGAAAAGCATGCATAATGTCGTTGCTCCGTAGGCCAATGTGCACAAAAGCTAACAGAGCCTTTCGTTGTGGTGTCAATGGTTTGTTCAACCGTGGCTTGTTTAAAACCCGCAACTTTGTACAACTCAGAAGAAACCGCATTTAACCTCAATGGAGAATTCCACTATCCATTTGGCAAGTCTTTATGTCAGATGACTGCCAAACAACCTTTGATGTTTTTCTTTTGGTCTGTACAAACATAGATTATAATCTCTGCTCAAATCACTGGTTGTTTCTGTCTGGTTGTAAAGTTATTCAACACAAAGCATTCCTCCTTGTCTACGATTGACGATTTTACGATGGGAAGGACTAATCGAAAATTGCGACGTCACACCGGTACATGTATAGCAGTACTTCGAAAATCAGCATACCCAAGATACTGGCTTGACTTACGCACTTCGTAACGTAAATACGCAAGATGTCGACTA